TTGTAACTCTGATTATTACAATGGAAAAATTGGAAATGAATTAAATGTATATAATAGGAGAATAGTTAAATAAAGTATTATATATCCAATGTTATCTTCAAGCTATCCCCTAATTAGGCAGATCTCCAAGTATCCATGTGGAATGACTTCAAAAATGTGTTAAATGAAAAAAATCATGTTATGAATTAACAGGTACAGAATTACCTGTTTTATTTTTTAAGTATAAAAAAAGTTTTATTAATTATACTATTAACAGTTGTTCCATTTTCCCCCTTTATTCCCCTCTGCCCAGTACCCCCTTCCCTCCAGCATCCTCCCCTCCCTTTAGTTCATGTCCATGGGTCATACATGTAAGTTTTTTGGCTTCTCCGTTTCCTACACTATTCTTAACCTCCCCCTGTCTATTTTTGTACCTACCAATTACGCTTCTTATTCCTTGTACCTTTCCCTCCATTCTCCCCCTTCCAGGGGGAGATAACCTGCTGATAACCCTCCATGTGATCTCCATTTCTATGATTCTGTTCCTGTTCCAGGTGCTTGCTTAGTTTGTTTGTTTGTTTGTTTTGTTTTTTTAGGTTCAGTTGTTGATAGTTGTGTTTGTTGTCATTTTACTGTTCATAGTTTTGATCTTCTTTTTCTTAGATAAGTCCCTTTAACACTTCCTATAATAAGGGCTTGGTGACGATAAGCTCCTTTATCCCTTACCAGGCAAGCACTTATCTTTCCTCCCATTCTAAAATACAGCTTGGCTGGACAGAGTAACCTTGGATGTAGGTCCTTGCTTTTCGTGACTTCAGATACTTCTTTCCATTCCCTTCTTGCCTGTAAGGTTTCTTTTGAGAAATCAGCTGATAGCCTTATGGGAACTCCTTTGTAGGCAACTCTCTGCCTTTCTCTTGCTGCTTTTAAGACTCTCTCCTTACCTTCAATTTTGGGTAATTTAATTATGATGTTTCTTGGTGTGTTCCTCTTTGGGTCCAATTTCTCTGGTACTCTCGGAGCTTCCTGGACTTCCTGGAAGTCTATTTCCTTCACCAGATTGGGTAAGTTTTCCTTCATTATTTTTTCAAATAAGTTTTCAATTCCTTGCTCTTCCTCTTCTCTTTCTGGCACCCCTATGATTTGGATGTTGGAACATTTAAAGTTGTCCCAGAGGTTCCTAAGTCTCTCCTAATTTTTTTTGAATTCTTGTTTCTTCATTCTGTTCCAGTTGAATGGTTATTTCTTCCTTTTGTTCCAAATTGTTGATTTAAGTGCAAGTTTCCTTCCCTTCACTTTTGGTTTCCTGTATATTTTTCTTTATTTCACTTTGTATAGCCTTCACTGCTTCCTTTATTTTGCAGTCATACTCAACCATTTCTCTCAGCATCCTGATAAACAACATTTTGAACTCTGCATCTGATAGGTTGGCTATCTTTTCATCACTTAGTTCTTTTAATGGAGTTTTGACATGGTCTTTCATTTGGGCCATATATCTTTGTCTTGGCGCACCTGTTACGTTGTGGGGAGTAGAGCCTTAGTTATTCGCCAGCGCAACCCAAGTCACTCTGTTGTGGCACTGTATGTGGGGGAGGGGTCAGAGAGTGAACAATGGGCTTGCTCAGCTCTTGCCCTGCTTTCAGTCACTTCCATGCTTCCTGCAAGTGACTGGCACCCTTCCAGTTGCTGCCCTGGTGCTGATTCCTTGAGTGGGTGGGCTTGTGTATGTTCTAGGACCCTGTAGCCCCTTCAAATGGACTCTCCTGAGAGACTGGCAGTTTCTTCTGCCAGGGCAACTGCCACAGGTTTTTACAGCCAGAGGTTATGAGGAGGGGTCAGAGAGGGAACAATGCTGATTGCTTGGCTCTTGCTATGCTTTCAGCCACTTTCCCCACTTCCCACAAATGAATTGCACCCTTCCGGGCACTGCCCTGGTGCTGATTTCCAGGCAGTAGGCTTGTGTACATTCTAGGACACCATGGGCCCCTCCAACAGACTGTCCTGAGAGACTGGCAGTTTCTTCTGCCACAACCCCCACAGATTTTTATAGCCAGAGGTTCTGAGGCTTTATTTCCTAGTTCTGGAACCCCGGGTTGCAGTCGGTCTCACTCCCCAGTTGTTCCTCCTGGTTTATCCTTGCAAATGTGGGCTTGCCCAGTCCGCCAGCTGTCACCTCGCTCACCCAGTCTGCCAGCAGCTGCCTTGCTGCGTGTCCTCACTGCCCTGGCTGTCCACCTCTGCCCCTCCTATCAGTCTGGATGAATGTTTCTTCTTTAACTCAGTGGTTGTTGCACTTCCACACAGTTTTATTTTCGCAGTTCTGGTTGCTTTTTGTTTTAAAATTGGTTGTTATCCTTCTTTAGGTTGTACGAGGAGGTGAAACATATCTACCTACACCTCCATCTTGGCCAGAAGCCTGATCCCTTTGTTTTATAACAACACAACTACTTCTACATGTAGACACATATTATTGCACAGAATAAAAAGTCTAGACCGGTGATGGCCAATAGAAATATAAGTGTATTGCCAATCACATATGTAGTGTTATATTTTCTAGTAGCAACATTAAAAAAGTAGAGAGAAATAGGTTAAAATTAAATTTAATAATGTTTTATTTAACCCACTATACAAAAGTTATTGAACATGTAATCAATGTAAAGGTGAATAACGAGATATTTTACACATTTTTTCATACTAAATCTTTGAAATGCAATTCATATTTTATAGTTGGCAGTACATCTCAGTTTGGGTCAGCTACATTCAAGCACTCAATAGCCACATGTGGCCAGTGACTATCAGATAACACAGGTTTAAACACATCAAAGTGGTTACTCTGGTGGGGGAGGAGGAGGGGGAGATGTTATATTTTTCCTCCATATTACTTTGTATTGTTCAATTAAAACAGTTTCATGTATTACTTTATTAAAAAGAAATAATACCAGAGTTCTATTGCATAATACTTCATATTTCATTTCTTAATGTTTTTATTAATCTTTTCTGGGTTTTAGTATTGCAAACATAGTGATAACAGGAGAAAGTAAAGAGCTTATCAAAATGTGAACCATTAAGTAATGGGGCAATTAAAATGACTCAACTGGACCTGGCTGGTGTGGCTCAGTGAATTGAGTGGCAGCCTATGAACCAAAGGGTCGCTGGTTCTATTCCTAGCCAGGGCATGTGCCTGGGTTGCAGGCTGGGATCTGGGTTGTGGGGCACGTGAGAAGTAACCACACACTGATGTTTCTCTCCCTCTCTTCCACTCTCTAAAAATAAAGAAATAAAATATTAAAAAAAATAAATAAAATGATTCAACTGTATAAACATTTTCTGAGTCTGAGCCATTTGTGAGGAGTTAGGCTATGCACTATGGAAGACAAAAAGAAAATCTTTTTGTCCTAAGAGATTTTTGGAGACAGCTGTTGGAACTCCCTTTAGACAGCTTCCATATACTCTTCAGGTTGGATTTGATTTCTAGCAATAGCCAAAAGCCCTCCAGTTGAGTCCAGTAAATTTTTATGGTTTTATTTAAAATAAACTGTGAATCAAGAGTCAAAGGAAAGATTTTATTATGTAACTTGCAAACTGGGAGATCCAAATTACTTCTGAAGATATTATTATTGTCTGCAAGAACAATAAACTAAGTGGATAATGCAACAAGACAGCTGTGGGAAAGTGCAACTTAAAATGGATACATTCTGGTTTCCTTTTTTTGAAAAAGTTGTTATTCCATATACACTTAGCCCTGTGAACTTTCCTATTCTTTTTCCATTTCCAGCCATCTTGTGCAAATTGCACAGCATGGAAAATTAGAGGCCAGGAGATATTCATGAGTTTCAATATTCTGTAATACAGACTTAGAAGATAGTTTACTAATAAGCCAATTACTATTACTGCCTTTATTTTTTACACTTAATAATTTGTTACATCACACTTTGTTAAAATAAAGGGTAAAATTAAGTCTTTACTGTGCCTAGGACTCACCAGTGATTTGTGATTGCCCTTGTTGAAGAGCGAGCAAACACCACAATAGAGACACAGCTATTGACTACTATGCTCGTGTATCAACATATTTTGAAAGAAGCGGCCATGAAGACATTTTTTAATGACTGAGAATTTTTAGAGTAACTTGAGTCTGCTCTTTTTAAAAGGTGGGACTAAAAATGCCAAGAGCAAAGATAAGAGCAAAAGGGGAAAGAAGTTATGTCTCTCCTTTGAAAAATTCCACAGTATCATTTTAAGCTGCAACTGACTTAAATCTAATCTCCTCATTTAATGGAGCCGACTTGTGGTTTGAGTCTTAAGCACCAGAAGGAGGTCAGCTGAGGGACAAACGGAGAGTGCCCTAGGCCCGGGTCCAGCACCTTCCAGCTTTTACACCTTAGCGAAGGAAGAGGTCACCTCGGTCTTGTTCGTAACCTCATCAACTCTTTCCCTCACCCCAGTGCCGGGGCCCCCATCCCACATCTCTCGCCTCCGCGGCCCAGCAGTGGCCAACTCCATCCACACCCTGCAGACTACACTCCGGGGAGAGGTGCTCCCTCAGACAGGTGTCTCTCCTCAGTCTCTACCATCAGTCTTTGGGGTCTCTCCTCACCGGCCTTCCTCTTCGAGCGTCGATCATCAAACATTTCTTAAATTCTGGACGTCTCCTTCTGCCTTCAGATCTTTTCCCTGAAGCGCAGCCTTCAGTCTCCCCTTGGTCCTCTCCCTCAGTCTGACCCGCGTCTCAGAAATCCTCTCCCTAGGTCTGCGAGGTCCACCTGGCGCCCTTCCTCGGTCTTCGGAGTCCTCTCCCTGGGTCTCCCGGATCCCCTCCTTCAGTCTGCGAGGTCCCCCTCTCTCCATCTGAGGAGTCTCTTTACTCAATCTGCAGAATACCGCACAGCCCCGCGTGCCCGCGTAGCGAGCGTACTTCGCGCTAGCCTACTCTCCGGAGCTCTCGCGCGCCTGCACGGTCCGGGGCGCGCGCCCGGCGGGCGGAGGCGACGCTAGACCGCGCGCGCAACATGCGCGGTGACGTCAGTGCGCTGGCGGCGGCGGCGGCGGCGGCGGCGGCGGCGGCAGGGCTGTTTGTTCTGCTCTCCCGTAGCCGAGAAGCCGAAGCAGTGGCTGCGACGGTGGCGGCTACCGGCGGTATTCGCCGGCGAGCGGGGCCTGTGAGCGCGGCGGAGCGGCGGGCGCGACGGGCGGGCCCCGGCGCCGCATAGCAGCCCAAGGAGGAGGTTGCGGCGGCTGGCGGAGGCGGCGTGCGGCCTAGCGTCTCAGGTGAGGGCCGGTGCCCTTCGGAGCGGCGGGCGGCGCGAGGCTGTCGGCGAGCACTCGCAGCGCGGTCCGCGTCACCTGCATTGCGTAATGGGGCCGGTGCGCCAGCTCCGACGCCATCGGCACGGCGCGAGGGCGGGGAGGCCGGGGCGACGCGGGCTTGGGGCCTGCGGGCCTCCCGCGTCCCCGCGCCACCCGCTCGTTCTGAGGTCGCCTGCGCCGTTGGCGTCGGGGCATCGGATCCCCGGCTTGCCCCGTCGTTGGCACCGATGCCCCCGGCCTCGGACCGGTCAGCGGGGCGGGGGCGCGTGCGAGGGGCGCGGGCGCCGCGGCGGGGCGGGCGGCCGGGGGCGGGCAGGGGGCGGGCCGAGGCGCCCGGCACTTCCTGTCGCCGCCATTTTGTCAAGTGAGGAGGAGGAGGAGGAGGAGGAGGAAGCGGCCGCTGCAGGGCCCGCGGCGCGCCCGGCTCGGGTAAGTCCGAGCCCGGCCTGGTGGCCGCGGCGCTGCCGTCTCCGGGGCGGGCTCGGCCTCAGCCGGGCTGCTCACGTGGGCCGGTCCCGACGCGTTCTTTCCCCGCCCCGGCACCTTGATTCTTCTTCCCGTACTGGGGTAGCGCGCCCCCGCCCCCATTTCCTCACCTTACGAGTGTCCCCGGAGCTTTGCGGAAAACACGGCCGTTCCCCAGGAAGAGGCTGCCCCCGCACGCCTGCCCTGGGGGCGAGCCTGGTCCCCTTTACCCAACTACTCCCAGCCTGGCAGCCTCTCGCTGGGCGCTTTGTTTTGCTCAGTCGGTGCTCGCCTGGTGTCCTTGCCTCGGTCTCGTCTCTTTGCGGTGTTGTGCAAGGTGGTAGTTTGGGGTGGGGATGTGGTGGATTTATGATGCAGCGAAATAAAATGACCCCCACCAACGGAAGAAGCACAGCTTTATCCGAATGAAACGCCCCCAACGCCTGGCCTTGGACGAAGATGGGAAATCCCATTTTGGTGTAGTGGACAGTGTTCAGGCCGTTGGATGAGTCATGTGCTTTTGCTGAGTGGCTGGCTGATCTCCCTTTTAGTCAAGACCAGGCATTGTTTTTTGAAGTGTTTTTATTTAGTTGTTTACTCATTTAATGTTTCGTGCAACGTGGTAGGGTTTATGGTTTCGGCCCTTGGATTCATTTTTTACCTGTGTTTGATTCAAGAAGTGACACCTTGGATGGAGTCTGTGCCTCTTGAAAATTGAAGTGTCTTTGCTTACCTTTGAGTGGGATCTAGCTGTCCTTGTTTACCAAAAATCAAGCCTTAGTGCATCTCTAAGCCAGTGGCTCTTCTGTGCTGTAATAACAGTTGGGAAATTTTTCATGAATGAGGCTGTCAAGTTCCTTGAATTGTGAGTCCTTGGAATTTGTAGTCCTTGGAAGTTGCAAAGGAAACCATATTCTACAGGATTTATGAAGGCGATTTCAATTTCAAGAAGGTTTTGGATCGCAGTTTTATGACCTTGACAGTAATTTAATAAAACATTTCTTTCGGTTTAATTTGGTTTGGGATTATCTTTTTAGCAAGGCATTGTAGCTTACCAACCCCTTCTCCCCAAAAGCTTCAATGCGGGGCAGATAAAACACTCAGATGGTTTCCATTGACCCAAGTGGAGAAGGAAAAGACTGATCTGAAACAAATCCACCATACCCTTTATCTTCGTAGGAAACATAGTATCTAAGGGCTCAAGCTTTGGAGTCAATGTCTTAGACTTTGTTTCCGAAAGTTATCTTTTTGAGCCAGTTATTGTGATCTTTGTACTAAATTGCACTTTTGCTTTTGGATGTAGTGGATATTTTTGTGTTGCACGATTCAGGTTATTGAATGCCTTGAGAATTATAGATTCTAGAGGGAAATTGAAGTCTTATTTTCTTAAAGCAAAAACCGTTTTGGTGCCCCAGTGATTTGAAAACTCTGAGATGTTAAATCTTCTGACAACCCACTGTCATTATCTGTCACAGTTATGTCCATGTAAAGTGTTTGGATTTTTGATTTTGAATAAACTTGCGAAGTAAATCATGTTTGATTTTGTTTTTGGCGGATTTGTAAAAATTAAAGAAAAGCCTGGAACTGAAAACTGCTACTAACATTTCATAAATTCATGATTTTTGGGTGTTTAGAAAAGAGTGGACATTCACATTTGCAAAATGAGGATTGTAGGGATTTCTTGCTGATGCTGACATTTAATTCATAAGACTTGAGTTTGTAAAAATAAAACTTGCTGAAGTTATTTTTCTTTCACTAGACTCTTAAGCTCCATGAGGGCAGGGTTTTGTTTGCTTCTCTTTGCCTGTTTTTATTCTCTATTGTATCCTCACTGCCTAGAAGAAAGACCACCTAAAATATTATTTGAGTGAAAAAACTGAAGAGATACTTGAGCAATAATTTGGCATGTCAGTAATACTAACTGCAAATAATTCCTCTTAAGTTAATAAATATTGTTAACAGCAGACCTAATTGGTTAGTAGTGATTTACAAGGAACGTGAATTTTAACTAAGATAATATTAAGTTCCCTAGAAATTGTAGTAGGCTTCTTAATAGTCAAGGTAGTGTGGCATGCAATTGCTTCTGTGCACTGCACACTGTCTACTGTATATTTCCTATTTAGTAGTTTGAAATATGAGTGGATTTAGCCTGTAGTTCAACCCTGACCTAGGAAAATGTTTTAAGAGGGGGATAAAATGCATAATAATAAACAGATATGGGTAGCATTTCTTAATGTGAATCTCACACTGTCATTAAAAACTTGATATTTTAAAAAACACATTGAGCACTTTGTTTTTAATATTCTGATTTCACGTATATGTGATTGGTCAATCCATCTCAACAGTTCCTGAACAAGGGAAGATAAAAAGATACTAATATTGTACAGTGACTTTTTTGGTATGTATATTCCTTATTAATGTATTCATTCTGCAAGCACTTACTGAATATAAATTATGTATAATAACAGCTTTACTTAGATGTAATTGACACATGATACAGTCACTAATTTTAAGTGTATAATTCAGTACTTGCCTATTTTGTATATTTCAGAAATCATACAACATAATATTTTTGTGTCTGGCTGCTTTCATTCAGTATAATGTTTTCAAGGTTTGTGTTATAGCATTAGTCAGTATTTTATTCCTTTTATGACTGAGTGATAGTCTATTATATGGATATACTACATTTTATCCATTCATCTGTTGGTAGATATTTGGGTTGTTAATTCCACGTTTTGGTTATTATGAATATTGCTGCTGTCATTGTTCATGTACAAGTTTTTGTGTGGACATACTAATTTCTTGGGGTAGATGCCTAGGAGTGGAGTTGTTGGGTCATGGTAACTAACTTTTGGAGACTACACAGTGACTTTTTTTTTTTTTTAGTCCTCACCCAAGGACTTTTTTTTTCTTCTTGCTTTTAGAGAGAGAGAAACATTCGTTGCCTCCTGTATGTGCCTGGACTAGGATCATACATGACCAGACCAGGAATCGAACCCGTAGCCTTTCATTACGGGATGACGCTCCAACCAAATGAGTCACACTAGCCAGGGCTCCACAATGACTTTTTTTTTAACAACATTGATTTTCTAGTGCTTTTACAGAGGGGTTAAAACAAAAGCTTAATGGAATATGGTGTGGCCATTTAAAAGTATGAGGAAGTGAAAGTGCAGTGATGTCAGCATAGTGACATGTAGTACAGTCTGCGTGGTTTGATTTCTATTTTTTTTTTTAAATTGTACATTGTTAGAGAAGAGTTGATGTGCTGCTAAGGCACATCAAACAGTCTGGAATATGCACCCCAAATTTTACTCCTGTTGTAGTAAAGGGTGTTTTTAAAAACACAATTTTTAAAAACATCTGAAGTCTTCAAGTGATTAAACTTGATTAAATTGCATCCATATTCACAGCATAACTCATGGGATGTATTGCATTCTAAAGAAATGAAGAATGAGTCCAGTGTCAGAGTTAGGGCAAAGCAGCCATCTGTCCCATTCTTGGTGAAACTCTGAAGAGGAATTGCACTGGTTGGTCCACATTTGAAAATGAGATAAGGGATTTTTCTTAAAACAAAAGTAGTCCATGGTCATTTTAAAGAATTTAGAAAATAACAGAATGTTAAGGTGATGTTAAATGTTAAAAAATATCCTTTAAGTCCATTTTTATTCCAGTCTTTCTACGTATGAGTAACAAAATTGGATTGTGCTCTTAAGTTTTAAGAAAATACTACATCGTGAACATTTCCAAAATGCTGTTTTAAATGGTTGACTAATATTCTAATATATGAATATACTATAGTTTAATTCTGCTAACTTTGCACATGATTTTTAAGTTTTCTCCTTTCTCATGTCTAGAGTGGGAATTGCTAGACCAAAGGGTGCGAGTTTTTGAAAACTTGATGCAAATCAGTTTTTTCAGAAAAGTTCCATGAATTTCCATTTCTCTGATCACAGCTTCACAGAGTCTTGTTTATAAGAGTGAAGTTTTTAAACCCCCCCCCCAACAGATAACAATTGTATAAAAACAAAATGTTGTCTTGGGAGTTTATTCTGAGAAGCTTCAAGTGTCTCAAGATCTTGCTCTTCGACCTTTCTACTCTCTCCTGTCCAGAGCTGGACTTTGTTTCCTGAATTCCTGACCGGACGCTAGCAGTCCAGTGTTACCTGAATGTTCTGGGGAGGGAGATGGGGGAGGGCTTGAGTGGCTTCCTGGTGTCCAGGCCTGTTTTATTTTTTTTCTGGCCTGCTCCAAAGACTGATACCACCAGTTAGACTGAAGTTTGAATTCTGGCCCTGCTGTTTGCCCTGTGGCCTTCCGACTGTCACTCAGCCTTCCCCAAACCTCACTTACGACTCTTTCAGCTGGCGGTAAAATGCGGCTGTGCCCTCTCAAGATTAGCTACTTGCTGTCATTGACCATGGCTAATAATTGAAGTGGGATTAGGTACCTGGCTGAGGCAGTTGAGTAGCTGAGGGCTAGGAAAGTGTACCAGCTGA